GTGGCGGCAGCGGCGACCCGCCCCGCCTCAGCCCCTGCAGCCCCGTCCCGCAGCCCCGAATCACAGGCACACCCGCGTCACTCGGAATCACGCGCTTCCCACTCCCGAGAAAGTTACGCAGCGACCTAACGCATCCCTAACAAAAACCAGAGCAGCCAGGCTAAGTTTACAGCCGAAAAATAAAAAGCTGGAAAATATTTTTCGTATCACAGAAGCAAAGGGTTTCCCACTGCCGAGAGAGCACGCCCCGACGATCACAGAGGGTTTTCGGCGGCAAAGCAAAGGCCGGGGCCGTCACCGCGGCTCCCCCGGCCCTCCGAAACTCCCGGCCTGACCCTCCGGCGGCGCCTCAGCTTCAACAGTCGTTTTGTAAAAGCTTCACTGAGCTACCTCCATCCGGCTGGGTCACCACCCATTTTAAATGTCTCATCGGCAAATCACTCCCATTTCTAAAAATGTAGTAAAAATAGAGCCCGGTACCAACAGAAATCAGCACCCCCCGATCCCGGTGCCGTGGAACGAAGGGCTCCTTGGCCAGCTCCACTTCCCCACTCGCTGCTCTGGACCTGGGTCCTCTCCCCCACCCCCGCTAGGATCAGCCCTCGCTCGGAATCCATCCAGAGGCACAACATCTGCATTTCCAATTCTCAGCTCTTTTTGCCTCTGACCGAGCACTCCCGACACCGCCCCCACGCACCGTTCCCACCGCCCAGCCCCGTCCTCGGGACCGCACGTTCTCCAGCCTCGCTCCTCTGCTGTCACTGCACTCGTCAGATCTCACCCTTTAGGTCTGGTCTTTACCGTTGGTCACCCCTTTTCCTCCAGACCAGCAGATCACTTAAAAGCATAAATCACCAAGCCTGCTACGAACCTTCCTCTTCCTCTTCTTCCTCCTCATCCTCCTCATCTTCATCGGAGCTGAAGGTGCCATCAGGCAAGCTGTAGATCCGGATCACCTGCTTGTTGGGGTCTTTGAGGATGAGGTACTTCCCCTCATCCAGCTTCATGCAGATGTCGATGACGCAACGCAGGATGCCCCACGCGTTCTCTATGCTCAGGTTAATCTGGCTGGCAAACTCATTTGGCTTGAACTGCTGCGTGCCCAGGATCACGTGGCGGGCAGAGTCCTTCACGTGGTAACGGGACACGTACCTAGGGGGGCAAGAAGAAACCAGGCGGGCATCAGGAGATTAAGTCCAACCACCACCAAGAAAAGCACCGTGATCAGTTTGGGTTTGTTTTCTGGGGTTAAAAATCCTAATACTCCAACATTGAAAGCCAAGAGGATCTCCTGGCTACGAGCTGTCGACCAGTAAGGCATCACTACCCCAAATCAGATGGGGTGGTACAAAAGGCAGAGAAGAATTGGTCGCATGGATAAAAATGAAACAACAGCATGATTAGCAGGGAGTTTGGACTTAAAACACATGTGAATCCATCAGTCCTATATCCGAGGACAGAACCTAGAATTGCAGAACCAGCTGAACCAAGTCAGCAAATGCCTCTTGTTCATTATCCACAGAAAAAAAATAGTTTGTATATAAATATATATGTAATATATATTATCAGCCATATCATCTGCTGTGAAAGCTACCAATGGGAGTCCCAGCTAGGGGACTCACTAGCTCTGTGCCGCTGCTGTGGAAAGAAACCACAGTAAAAGCACTCTGACCAGGACGCCTGGGCAACCGGATGCCTGGGAGCCGCTAGCACACAAAGCGGCTCACCCAGGCCACCAACAGCAGGGCACAGACTCAACTGATTTTAAGCAGTTTGAAATGGGCTGTGGCAATACCTCCCCTGCAACCAGCTTCTTGTCAACAGGGCACTGAGGACCTCAATCAAATTGCTGACAGCACAGTCACTGCATTTATTTCCCTCGTTAGCGATCTCGGCAAACAGGCCGAGAGCTGCGGAGGCCACCTGCCCCTCACGTGCGTGAGGTCTCACAAGGTCAGTCGCAGCAGAAGGCGCATCAGCCGGATGCTGAGGGGAAGCAGTCTACCCCAAGGCTGGTGTGCTCACCACAAGCTTTCCCCTCTTGGCCACTCAAAACGTGGAGTGATTTTATGATTGCTCATTCTACAAATGGTTCGCTTTGACATATAGTGGGTGAAATCATGGAAAACGCACCTAAAAGGTGTTTGGTGTGAAAACCCCATCTTACCCGAGTTTAAGATATTCTGATCCAGCCAGCAGCGCGCAACATGTCCAGCGGGCTAATTTGTAGCTGTTGTTTTTCAGCTCTGTGGCAATCACAGCTCCTCTCTGAGAGTCAAGCTTCTGGCGCCAGTCTACTCCATTGCAATACTGAGAGGAGAATCAAAACTAGGGTCAACCCAACAAGCCGGCAGCAGTCACCTCTCCAGCCATCTTAACAACATGTAGGGAAGTTTCTTCTGTCTACCTTACGATACCAAACAAGGGAATGCGAACAGCAACCTCCAGGGAAAGCCCTTGCACTGGAGAGGGGCAAAAAAGCAAACAGCAGGAACTGGCCAACATTTGTGGCACTGGTTAGGAAGGGAAGTTTGCAAGAGAAGCATGGGAACAGACCGGCTACTGTGCTGAACAAGAGGGTTCAAACCAGCTTCTTCGCATCTGGGGGAGAATCCCATCAGCACTGCTTGTCCACCAAAGTTATGGGCCTTTGGTGGAACGTAACCGCCCGGGGGACACCGCCAGATGTTTGTCTCATCTTGCCTGCTGTACCTCGCATGTCAGGCAGCAGTGAAGCAGTTAGAGCTAGCTTTGGGATCTCGTTCTTCCTCACCCTGGAATCCCACTCGTTCAGTGTTTTGATGTTGATGAAAGACACTTCTCCATTTGCTCCTGTCATCACGCCATCATGTTCACAGCGGACAATGAGATCTATATCATCTCCCAGCTTCCACCTTCGGTATCTGCCAACAAACAGCCCAGGTGGTTATTTCGGACCCTTGTTCCCTTCCAGATCCATGCAAGCACTCAACAAAATCCTTTCTTCCTCTCTCTGTTCACTGTGAGGACGCCCAGGAATCCCTCTCATGGTAAAGCTTCTATCAGTAACACTCCTGACTCATTTGGCCTCTGTATCACACTGACATCCTGCCCCCTTGCCAAACTCGGCATCAGAGAGAGAGATCAACGTACCTGTATGCAACAGAGGCAACTTCATTCTTATCCATGTCATCCTCCACAAAGGGGTTTGGGTTGGGAAACTTGTATTTCTCCTTTCCCTGCAGAAGAAAACAGTAGGGCATGTTAGGAAAAAAAACCTGGGGGAGCTCTCCCCTACTGGATAAATATTCTCTTATAGCAACAGTAGCTAATTTCCCTTATATAGGGAAACGCTAAAACATTAAGACAGCCGATGAGAAGCCTCATCTTCACGTTAGTCACTTTGCTGTAAGCAGCGCTTCTACTGGCACTTCAGCTTCACTAAGTGTACTCAGAAGCCCGCCTGCTTCACCACTGGGAGTGGGATTTCTTCTTTGTGGAATAAAGGTGAAAATCTTTCTGCAACAAAGTCACACAGCTCACCAGAAGTAATCCCACCTCTCTCGAAACTGAAAGAACATTAGTATAACACACCTCTGTCAATTAAAACACTTCTGTGCTGTACTAAAGCAGCCTTAATGAAGTCTCTTCTTGACACTCTCTGACACACAGACCCTACTACCCAGCGCTGCTCAACCTTACCATCCTCAGACACTGCTGGGAGAAGTTGTGATTGATGTAGGTAGCTTCCATGGCAAGGTTGCGCGGAGAATTAAAGGAGTTGCCCTCTTCCTGTGGT